ATCCGTCCCGGCTGCGCCGGTCTCAGTATACCGCAAGCTGTAGCTCGCGATATACTGCGCCTTGGGTCACGGGAGGAGGTTAGTATATGGCCTCTCGCGACCCTTAAGAGAACTATGGGGAAAAAAATAGGATTTTTGTACTCACCGTAAAATCCTTTTCATTGAAGGACACAGGGCAACAGATCGTAGATCCTGAATGGTAGGGTATATCGCCACCTGCAGGAGTAGGACGCTAGGCACATAACAAAAGACAAGACAGCCTAGGTGCGGCCCCTGCTGGTGGCCCAACCCTCCACTTGCTGACAAGTCTCCAGTAAGTAACAAGCAGTTAGGAGTGCACACCCTATAAAAGAGGGGGCGGGACCTGTGTCCTTCAATGAGCGGAGAGAAAAGGATTTTACGGTGAGTACAAAAATCCTATTTTTTCCCCATTCATTGAAGGACACAGGGCAACAGATCGTAGATCCTGAATGGTAGGGACGTCACCAAGCAGTAACACACTGAGGGATGGGCAACAACAAACAAAACACCCAAAAGACCCCTCAAATCACCGCCTGCAACACTTTACACCCCAAACCAGCATCCGCCGATGCTAAACACGTCCACCTTGTAAAACAAAGGTGTGAACAGAAGACCAAGTTGCGGCCTTACAAACCTGAGAAACCGATGCCCCATGGCGAAAAGGCCAAGGAAGCCCCAACAGCCCTAGTAGATTGGGCAGTGACAGGGAAAGGAGGCTCACGCCCCCTTAACGGCATACGCCTGAATAACCGCATTGCGAATCCACCGAGAGATGGCCACCAAAAAGGCCACCTTTTGCGACAAGGACATAAGCGGAATCTCCCGAAGAGACTCAAATGGAGATTCCTGCAACACCGAAAGCACCAGATTCAGATCCCATGGAGCCAAAGGCGAACGTACAGGGGGAGCAATGCGCGTCACCCCCTGGACAAAAGTGCAAACCAGAGCGTTAGATGCCAAAGGCCGCTGGAAAAGCACAGCCAAAGCAGATATTTGGCCCTTCACAGTACTCAAGGCCAGCCCTTGAGCCACCCTGCGCTGCAAGAAGTCTGCCGACAGAAAACAAGCGCGGCCCTCCACGTGCGATGGTAAATCTTACGAGAGACCGCTTTGCGCGCCCTAAGCTTCATGGAAATGACCGCATCGGACAACCCCTGGTCCTTCAGGACCTGGCTCTCAACAGCCACGCCGTCAAAGCCAGCGACTGTAAAGAAGGATGGAACACAGGTCCCTGGCACAGAAGATTGGGGCGCAGAGGCAGCCGCAACGGGGCGTCCACCACCAGCAGAACCACGTCCGCGTACCACGCCCTCCAAGACCAGTCCAAGGCCACGAGGGCGGTGACGCCCTCGGTCGCGATCCGACGCAGAAGCCGAGGCAACAGATACAGAGGGGGAAAGGCATAAATTAGACCGTAATGACCCCAAGGAGCCTCCAAGGTATCCACCGCCTCCGCCCAGGGATCCAGAGCCCGGGCCACAAACCTGTCCACCTTCCGGTTGAACCGAGACGCTAGAAGATCCACCTCCGGCGTCCCCCAGCGATGACAGAGCTGCTGAAAAACCGCTGGGTGCAGAGACCACTCTCCCGGATCCACCGACTGTCGACTGAGGTAATCGGCCTGCCAATTTTCCACCCCCGGGATGTAGACCGCCGAGAGAGCCAGAACCCGATTTTCCGCCCAGGAGAGAATCCCGAACACCTCTCGTCCTGCGGCCACACTTTTTGTGCCGCCCTGGTGATTGATGTACGCCATCGCGGTGGCGTTGTCCAACTGGGCCCGAACCACCAGATCCTGGAGGCGGGTCGACCAATGAAGGAAAGAAAGGCGAATCGCCCGAAGTTCCAACACATTTATCGACAGACGGGACTCCTCCGGCGACTAACGACCCTGCACGGTCAAGGAGCCCAGGACTCTGCCCCAGCCCCAAAGGCTTGCGTCCGTGGTGACCACCGTCCAGTGCACAGGAAGGAAAGACTTCCTCTGCACCAAGGCCGGAGATTGAAGCCACCACCGCAGGGAGGCCCTCGCCTCCCGAATCTTCCTGTCCAAGGACTTGTCCCACAGTACCAGGATGTTCCTCTGCAGGGTCTTGGTATGGTGTTGTGCAAAGGACACCACCTTCATGAGACCCAGGACTTGCATGCAAAAACGGATGGGCGACCACCGGCGAGTCCTTAGTAGCCGGACCTGAGTTTCAGGAGCTTGTCCCGAGGAAGAAAGACCCGGGCCACGACAGTGTCCAGAACCAGGCCCAGATACTCCAGGCGTGAAGAAGGCACCAGGCAAGATTTCCATAGGTTCAGAAGCCAACCGAACTCCTCCAAGGACCGCACCGTGACCTCCAGAGCCGTCACCATAGAAGAATGCGACTCCGCCCGCAGAAGCAGATCGTCCAGGTAACCCACGATTGAAACCCGCCGACAACGCAACAGCGCCAGGGGCAAGCACCTTGGTGAACACTCGCGGGGCCGACGCCAGCCCGAAAGGCAGCGCCACAAGCTGAAAATGGTCCTCCCCCACCGGGAAACGAAGATACCGCTGATGAGACCCGCAAACGGGCACATGAAGGTAGGACCCCTTGATATCGATGGAGACCAGCAGATCCCCCTGACGAAGCCAGGCCACCACGGACCGGATCGACTCCATCCGGAACCGACAGACCCGCACGAAGGTGTTCAAGCGTTTGAGGTCCAGGATGGGCCGCACCCCCTCTTTCTTGGGCACGGTAAACAGGTTTGAATAAAAACCTTTGAACCTTTCCGAGGACGGAACCGGCACAATCACCACCGAGATCCACCAAGGAAGGAGAGAGTCGCGTGTTGGACGGGAAGAACCGGTTTCCCGGACGGGACAGAAACTCGATCTTGTAGCCCAAGAGTCCGAGGCGTGGGCCAACCAAAAATCCACACAGAGCCAAAGACGCCCCCCCCCACCCTGGGAACCAGAGCTGGGGCACGACCTTCATGCGGACTGGGGCTTGCCGGCGGGCTTGGCCGACTGAGGCTGCCACGGACGCTTTGGGGCTTGGGAAGCGGAGGATCTGTGAAACTTCCCGCCCTTGTCGGAAAGCGGAGGGGGCAGAAAAAGCCGCTTGTGGGGAAAGTAGGCCCAGGCTTCCAGCGCGGTTCCTTCTTGGGGCTTGGGCGCCTGAGGACGGAAGGTACTCATACCCCTCGTCAGATTTCTAATGATCTAGTCCAAGGTGGAACCAAACAAACGGTCCCCAGTAAAGGGCAATTCCTGTAGAGCCTTCTTGGAAGCCTGATCAGCTGACCAGCCCTTAAGCCAAAGTAAAAGGCGAAGAGTCACCACCGACACTGACACCCTGGACACCAAGGACGCAGCATCCAAGGCCGAATTGCAGACATAACGGAGGCCTTGCACCAATTGGTCCGCCAAATCCACGAAAGTGGGACATTTCCCTCACAAGGCAATGCAGGGGAGTCGTCCCTGCGATCCATTGCACACTCGCACAAAACAACCCCACCGACTGGAGACCACCAGGCAAGGGAGAGAAAAGACAGGGACCCCGCTACTCACGACCCCCAGCGTCCTTGTCCCAGCCCAGCCGTCCGATTCCGCAAAGTGGAGGAGAGCTGCACACTGTGTCCTTCCTGCATCGGGTCCAGGTCCTCACAACATCCACCAGAGACCCCACATACATACCCACATGAGGGAAGAGCGGACACCATCGCCAGGACCCAGGACAAGCAGGGTACCGGTAGGAGAACGCCCCCGACAGCGGCCGCGCCAGCCTGCGGGAAGAGCCGTGACCGGTGGGCCAGGGCCCCTGGTCATAAGCCCCCCCGGGACGAATCCCATAGGCGTCAGGGAGGACCACCTGTCGCAGCCGACTCACCGTAGCAGAGTCTGCATGCGCTCGCCGGTCACCCAGGGGAGACTACAAGGATCTACAGTCATCCAGTATGTCGTCCTGGGGAAACACTTGCTAGAAGAAAAATCGAGTCAAACGGAAGAAAGGAAAAAAATTCTAAAGAGAAATTGTTTTAGCTCCTTACTCCTGACGCTAGGCAAAAAACTGGAGACTTGTCAGCAAGTGGGGGGTTGGGCCACCAGCAGGGGCCGCCCCTAGGATGTCTTATCTTTTGTTATGTGCCTAGCGTCCTATTCCTGCAGGTGGCGATATACCCTACCATTCAGGATCTACGATCTGTTGCCCTGTGTCCTTCAATGAACGGGAGAGAAACACTTACCCCATAGTTCTCTTTTAACTATTAACAAAAATGTATCTTATTTGTGTATCACACAGCTGTAGATCCCCAAAACATCTCTGAATGGCTGCTGACACTGTCCTTCCTTCTGGAGGGGGGCTACGTTTGTTTCCCATGGTCCCTGTGTGTGTTATAAAGTAGTCACCGCTCCAAGATTACTCCCGTGATGGACTACAATCTCACGTTTAGTTTTCTAATTTGTATTGAGATTGTAGTCCATCACAGGAGTGAGCTTGTAAATTGCATGTAAATAAAGTAATGTTTACAGAGGCCTGTTTTATAAGTAGTTATCCTTTAATGTTTATTGGATTGGGAATTTCATCCAATATTCACTTTAATATGCTTGTGTTTGTGCAATGTCTCCAACTGAGGTACTAAAACAGATTATGGGTATTATAGGGTAGACCAGGGGTGGGCAACTTCAGCTGTTGTGGAACTACAAGTCCCATGAGGCATTGCAACACTGACAGCCACAGGCATGACTCCCAGAGCCAGATGTATGATGGGATTTGTGGTTAAAGCACAGCTGGAGGGCCAGAGTTGACCACCCTTGAGTTAGACTAATTTAGCATGCATACTAAAATATTTTGTGACATGCACTAGAACTGGCCTGTATTCCTTAATGTACATCAGATATCTAGTGGAAGGTTCAACTCAATTAACTAAATGATTAGAAAATGCCACCCTCCAGTACTGTTTGTGCATCGTTGCTTGTGATCTGCGCAACTTCACGTTATACTTACAGCGGTCGGGTCCTTTCGATGGAGTGCAGCTGCAGTGACTTGTTTAAAACCTCCAGGATAACTGGAAAGAAAAAAAAAAAAGAATGTTCTCTATTTGTCTCCGGCAAGCATTCCATTTCTAGGCAGAAACATATAACATTTGCATAAATGACATACGCCGAATATTTCTGCAACTAAAAAATGTTCTCATGAATTGTTCGCTACTCCAAAAACACACTAATAAAGCGCTTCTCCCAGCCAAGTAGTGTCTTGAAAAAGTTGTCCCTTGTTCTCTGTCCCTTGCCCTCTGGAAAAGTTATCAACGTCTCCTTACTGTTTTGTGATCAGTAATTGATGGAAACAGCCAATCACAAAACAATCATGAAGAGCGGACGTCTGTCACTAGTTTCTAAAGATTGCTGAGGCTGAACTTTGGACAGTCAACCAAATATTTGGCGCTGCGTGACAGGTTCAAATTAATTCCACTGCTGAAACGTTACTACATCACGGACTGGGGTCCTGGACAGGCATGCTGAATAAACAGCTGACACATACCCCGTGTGAGAGGAGTAAACCTTCTGCTCCCATTTATTCCCAGAGAAGGCGATGTGCCTGGTGTTCTTCACCACCACGTGGTCTCCGCAGTCACCTGCACAAAAGGCAAATCAGAAAATGTTACAGAGGAGGTGCCAAGATCACTTATAAAATAAAGATCAATTTAAAAAAAATTATTAACACTTCAAAGCCCAAATCCGGGCTCTGTACTCCCTCCAAAGTGAAGTGAAGGAGGGAACAATGGGGGCTCCTGATGTAAAAAGGGAACTCTGATGTGAAAGGAGGGGGCTCCTGATGCTAAAGGGGAGAGAGAGTAGGGGGGGGAGAGAGAGAGAGAGAGAGAGAGAGAGAGAGAGAGAGAGAGAGAGAG